GCCCACTTGCGCGCGCAGCTTGAGCTACTCAGCAAGCATACCGCGCCCGGCTCGACAGACAACGCGACCGGCCCAGCTCGTGGAGCTCGCCCTCAAGCTCCCAACCCTTTGACCGCGTCACCACCGCCGCCGGCACATGGCTATAGTAACGGCTCTACATCGCCCACTGACGTCTTGCCACCGATAGTTAATAACCAGGCCGACCCGGAAGCGCATATCCACCCTGACCTCCGAGCTCGAATCACGCAAGCTCCCGCCGTCAACATGATGCCCGCTGGTGTACCACCTCAACCGCAGCAGCAAATCGCGCCTCCCGTGACGGCTGCCGGTCCTTCCATTGCGCCTCCTACTCATTCTCCTACAGAAATGGACTTGGATGACGGCGCGGAGGGTCGCAAAGCTAAGCGCGAATTGTCACAATCCAAGCGCGCCGCGCAAAACCGAGCTGCCCAGGTACGATAATAACAATTGGGAAGGTGCGCTGGGTCAATGGCGCGTAATACGCCTCGCGCGTGTCGCAGATGACTGTCGCAGTGCTCTTGATACATGGGACACCATTACTGGCTCATCAACCAATCACTGCGACAGCGCCAATTCCATCCGGCGCGCCCACCCCAAATCAATTCTCCAATGCGACCTGTTGATGAGCTTGAGCTAACTTGAATGCGCCGCAGAGAGCTTTCCGTCAGCGAAAGGAGGGATACATCAAGAAGCTTGAGCAGCAAGTTAGAGACTACATGGAAATGGAGGGACAGTACAAGACGATGCAGTCAGAGAACTACGCGTTGCGCGAGTACGTGATTCACCTCCAGTCGCGCTTGCTCGATCTTCAGACCGAAATCCCTCAGCCGCCGCCCAATGTCAACCTTCAGCAACCTGCACTCCCGCCTCCTTCGGTCCCGACAAGTGGTCCTGAAGCCCCGCCTAGCAATGCGGGTGCTGGTCCTCTTGAGGCCGTTGCGCAGGCAGTGGCCGGTCTGCAGGCACAGGAGCAGCTTGCGCAGAGAGATCAGTTCACAAGGCCCGAGGCGGTGACTAAGGAGGAGCCGCAACGTGAGCCTGATGGACCCGTCGACCCATCGCTACCGGATGGCCTTCCGGCTCCGACTGCGTCCATGTGAGCGCGCCAAGAAAACGAGGGCGCGTCGCATTTGAATCATGGTTTTCACGTCGCTGGCGTTGCGGTACAATGGTTTGTCAAGATATTACTAGTGGACTGGCGTTACCGGCATGGCTTCTATCCACCCGTTGCGGGTGTTTTGTTTGCAATGCCCTCGGGCTTGAGTTTTCAAAAAGAGAGATGATGTAGGGAATTCGTGCTTGTAACATTGACACGAGAAGTGAAGAGTGTCAAAGGGTGGAGATTTGAGGGCCTGATGGGAACTTGATAGGAACCTCGAGGCGAGCTCCGGCTTTGTCTTTGATTTTTAGTCATTTGTCCCCCTCGGTTCTACACGCAAATGTACATCGAGGAAGGAGCCCTTGGTCATAACCTCGGACCATGCTTCATTGCCATGAAGCCGAGGAAAGACCTAGGCAACGTTCGAAAGTCTCATTACAGATTAGTCTCCGCAGAAATTCTGTTTTGCATGGCCTTATATGGATGTCATCGTTCTGATTCCCCCTCATTCACGCAGCTAAGGAGCCCGTCTCAATTTGCACTCGCGCGGAAATACAAACAGACATAGGTCTGAGTGTGTCGAAGAAGTCATGAAGAAATAGCAAAGCTTGGCTTTTTCTCGTCAATAAGACTGGTGGCATACTAGCAAGAAGGACGTGTAAAATGTAAAGATATGTTAACATGTAAGGCCCGGCATTTGAATTTCTCCCATCCTTTCTTGCCCTCACCCCTTTGAGACGTCCCGTTCCCTAAGCCGTAAAATAAGTCGCCACTGCTGCAAAGCGCCCGCATCGTCCGTGATCTCTGTTTTCTCCCCTTTTGTTAAGTAATCATACATATGAAGTATTGCCCAGGTCGTGCTCCTATGATCACATCGTGTCAGTCTGTTGTCTAGTTTCAGAAATGGGGGCGGAATGGTTTGGGTGAACTTACCTTGAGATACTCAGAGCCCTTCTCCTGATACTCCTCCCGCGTAATGGTAGCAGCCTTCCAGGCGTCCGACCCAGCCCACCCGGCAGCGCCCTTCCACGCGTCGAGGAGGGCGTCCTCGGCGCGGCGGATGGCGAGCGGCGCGCCGGCGGGGAGAAGAGGCCTCAGCCCCTCGCGGAGACGCTCGTCGAAGCCCTGGAAGAGCGTGTTGCCGCCCGTGAGGAAGACGTCCTTTAGGAAATCTTCGCGGTTCGACACGCCGCCCAGGCGCTGGTTGAGTATATCGCCGACAATCTCGATGAGGCCGCCCTGGTCGACGCCTGCGATGGACGGCTGGAAGACGACCTCGGGCACGCGGATGCGCTCGACGTTGAGGTGGATCTGGTTCAGCTCGGCCTGGGAGCCGGCGTCAAAGGGCCGCGGGCCACGCGCGAAAGCGTGAAGCATCGACGTCGACCAGTCCGTCTTGGCCTCGTGGGTGTCCTCGTAGCCGAAATCCGGATCGTAGCGCAGAAGGTCCTCCTCGTACGTCTTGAGGTTCGCCTCGAGGTTTTCTTCTTCCTGCTCGTCGTCGCTGTTGTCGCCGACGGTGATTTGGCGGTACACGCCCCAGTCGTCGTCGTTTTGTCCGAAATTGTCGTCGTCGCCGCCGCGGCGCCGCTTCTTGACCGGGTTGTCGGACGCGAGGTTGGCGATGCTCTTCATGCGGATCTGCGAGGCGAGCGACTTGCGGTTGCCTAGGTCCTGTTTGAGGCGCTCGCGCTCCTTCATCTTTTGCAGCGTCACCTCGCGCGCCTGGCGCCTCTCCTCGAGCCAGCCCTCGAGGTCGTTCTCGCGGCGCTCCACGTCTAGCCGCTTCTCCTCCTCGACACGGGCCTTCTCGGCCTCCTTTTCGGCCTTGGCGCGGGCCCGCGCGTCGTGGTTGGACTTCATGAGCTTCTGCTGGCGCTTGGCCTTGATGCCGGCGTCGTCGAGCTCCTCGTCTGGTACGTCGAGCAGGTCGAATACTGGCTCTTGCTGCTCCTCTGCAGGGTCACCGCCAACGTCCTTTGTGCGCGCCTTCTTGACCGCCTTCTCAAGGGTGGCGATGGCTCTCTCGAGAGCAGCTTCATCCTTGAGGTCGTTGCTATCGAGCAGCCGCCTGACCTCTTTCTTGTTGGTCTGCTGCTCAAGCTTGATCTGGAGCTTCTTGTACTGTTCGAGCTCGTTCTCCTTGCGCATCAGCTTCTCGAGGCGCATCTTCGCAGCTTGTTCCTGTAACCGCCTGCCGCTCTCCTTCTTCCGCTCAGCAATACGAGCCAACTCCTCTTCCGTCTTTTGCACAATGACCTCCTCTGTAAAGGGGTACTGGATGACAATGTCCCGGTCTTCAAGGCCTGTCCAATCCAAGTAGCCTCCTAACTCAGTGTTGTAGTCTTTTGAAACGTAAGCATGGTCGCGGAGCATGTGCTCTGCCTGGGACACGTTGAGCTTCCCGTTGAAAGCAGGGTACTTGAGCCTAATCAGCTTCAGCAGGTACTCTGCCGCATGCCATCCTCCCCAGTTCAATCTTGTGGCTTGGCTCAGCAGGGCCTTGTGATTGTAAACGGGTATCACGTGTGTCGAGGTGTAGGATGACGAAACTACGATGCCTGTGTTTCCCTTGTTGTGTGTGTACGAGAAGAGGGAGTCGATGCCGTATGCTAGGGAGGGCGCGCCGTAGCATTCGAAGATGATTTCTGTCATGGCTTCATAGATGTGTTAGCTATTGGTCTTCACATGCTGCGAGAGGCCAGCTTACATTTCCGGGAGTACGGCAAGTTGGCTACCGCCTCCGTCATGATAATGGGCATGTCGATGGATGCATCATCTCCGTTCAAGCCGAGTTTGAGAAAGATGTAGTCGAGAACATGCTCCATGACATCCCAATTGCTCACAATACCCGTCCCTTGCTCGTGCGCATAACGTGTGTGACTCCTTGCAGTCGTGTCGGCATAGCAGTCGCTGCCTGCAAAGGAATACGTCTTTCCGGCTTTTCGGTCGCGGTATTTCGCCATGATCGGTGGGATGTTGAGCCTCGGCTTCTCTTCAAATGACCATCCTGCACGGACGGCCGAAGATCCTATCGACAGTCAGTCAAACAGCCGCTCCGCCACATGCGTTTTCGGAACGCCTGCGAGCTTACCGTTGTCAATTACAATGGCCGCGCCTCGGGAGGACTGCGCCAATGCCTTCTCCCGTCCATCCTGCTGTACCGGGATCGGCTTCTCGAACTTAGCCTCCTTGACTTGGAAGATCTTGGCTGGAGGGTACGTCCTCTCGGGAGGTCCTGGCAGAGGAGGGAGCTCGCCCGTAGCTGAGGGCGCCATCGCGATGTTCGTGTGTTGGGAAAGGTCTAGGGTGTCGCAGTGCGACGGACCATGCTTCGGGAATTTACGGGCAGTATATGATGGATTTCGAAGCTGTATAGCTGGTGGCGTCTTCAACGGGAAGGTTCGTTAAGGTAGGGAGCGTCTACGTCACGTGCGTCGCGTTCAATGCGTCTACTTGATTACGGTTGATGAAGTTGTGATGCGCCGTTGTTGCGAGGCTGCGAGGCTGTAAATTTCAGTGGACCCCTACCGGCTTGTGCTACTCGGGTCGCAGCGCAGCTACGTGATCTTAGCGTAGCAAAGGTAATAGTACTACGTGGGTGAATCAAGTGCAACCAGCGTCTCGCCCCTCGGTGTTTTGTTCAAAATGGGAACTATCACATTCACTTTCAGGTCTGCCAAACTTGCGACTGCCTTTAATCATGGCCATTTGAAGAAGGGTGGGAAATGCGGTCAATTCAGAATTCTGAAGCTTTCCTCCAGTTATGGCTTCTCAGTGGGTATCTGCTCTATGGCTCGTGGAGTGCGCCGGAAATGTCATCAGTCTTGTCTCATTCCTCATCCATACACCCAGCACCTAACGACGAGTTCCGCCATGTTCATGCAGGCGGCTTCAGGTTGTCCGTAGCTAGTCCAGTGTTAAATTACTTCACGAAGGTCTGCATAATGACAAGAAACGTACCCTCAAGATGGAACAAGACATTAGACTGGTAGTTCTTGAACATCTGAGCGACGAGCTCGACATTCATGTTCTCAATGTTGATCTCCTGAAACCGACATCAGTCACAGCAAAGTGTCATAGAATAAGAATGGGTAAATTACCTGCAGTGATCTATTCATGACCATCACCGCCTCGTTGAGTTTTTCCTGGAACTGTGTAAGTCGTAATGACCTATGGTTGTTAGAGAGCGACATACCACATTGGTAATAATACGAGAAAGCAGCAGGTTCTGTTGGTGTTCGTGAGGACTCTCCTACTCTATTCGTTAACATGTCTATTCGTCTGCGCTGCGAGTGACCACGGTTAGTATCATACCATTTTGTTAGGCACGTATTTGTGGTTGTGGTGTGTTTGTTTACTCTGTTACAGGTACCCCACCGCAATCGTAGATGACTTGACTCGAACAGCGCTCTAGGCACAACTCACCGATCACACCGAGCTCCCGCTCAGCGGTGAGGAACGGCAGAATAAGCTACCCGGCCACTGCTTCCCTCCTGTTGCGCAACCAGCCATCCGCCTCCAATGGGTACAGCAAAGCCGTATCATCGCAGTTTGAAACCCCAAAACCGCACGATACCACATTCCAACTAAAATGGCGGCCCCGAAAGAAGCTACAGAGGCGCAACTAGCCCACCAAGCCCTCCTCGACGAGCTCGACATCCACTCCATTCACAAGAGCTTCCGCAACCCGTCCTGGAAACCCAACCAGCGCCGCAACAAGAACATCAAGACCATCCTCGGCGACGCCTCCCGCCGCGAGGCCTCAGCCCTGGCGACCCCGCAACAAGAAGAGGGCAGCGCTGCGGCCACGCCGGCGCGGACGACGCGGGGCGGCCGCGGCGGCAACGACGACGACGGCCTCTCTACCAGCGGCGCCTCGACGCCAGCCGCCGGCAACGGCAGCGGCAACAACGACAACAACCCGAACCTCGCGCAGGCCTCGCGCAGCCTGTCGAAGCTTGTTCTTGAAAAGAGTCTGCGCCCCAACGGTGGTGGTGCCGCCGGCGGAGGCTCGGGCCCGAGTGTTACCTACACCAACGTCGAGTCGGCGCCGTCGCTGGCGCACACGAAGCGGTACTGCGATATCACGGGGCTGCCGGCGCCGTATGTCGATCCCAAGACGCGGCTGAGGTATCACGACAAGGAGGTGTTTGGGCTGATTCGAACTTTGCCGCAGGGCGCGGCTGAGCAGTATCTCGAAGCGCGTGGTGCGCATACTGTTCTCAAATAAGGGGTGTCTACTGCCTTACATCTTACGGATACATCTTGTGGATTGGACAGAGAATGACGGCGGCGGCAGGAGGCATAAGGCACGATGCTGCAGGTTTCCTTGTTTAGGCGTTACTGGGGGTCAACAACTGTGGTCATGAACCAAGTTTCGGAGTTACTGGGGGTGTCGAGCGGAACGAGTCGTTTTCAAGTCAATACGATGATTGTTCTTCATAAGGATGAGCTACTAGGGTGCGGGAATCTATGTATGTGCGACCAACAAAGTCAAATCTCAACTATGCAGCCCTGCGCCTTTCAGCATAGGGTGTTAGATGACACTCCGGCTTAATCGTGATAAACTGTTGTTGTTCGCCTGTGAATCGACAGATTACCGAGAACGTATTGAGAGACGATACTCAGTTGCCATAGCTTAAAGCTACAACCGTCGCGGCGGAACTGCTATGCAGTTGTGTTTTCCTTACCGTTTTGTTGTCGAGCCTCCGACTTGCTCGAATCCGGAACCACGGCCGGGGGACGATCTTGCTCGTCTATATCGGAGCTGGTGGTATAGATGCTATCCTCTTGTGTCCACAAAGAGGAACGCTCATGTATTTCCACGGTAGAGCTCAAACACTCCGTCATGAGATCTTCCCAAATCTTATACCGCAGTTGCCCAGCTGGATAACCTCATGAAGAGCGGTTTGAGAGACCAGTTGCGCCATGCATCAATGAAAGCCGTATAGGAAAGGCTGAAGAGTATTTCCTGACTGTACTGTTGATGGTCGTGTGCTCGCCAGCTGGATGGTCCTGATGCGCGTGTCGTCGAGCCCTTCAAGACGAACTCAACACTGAGTTGATGTTCAAGAAGCAGGTTGATTTTTTTCCAACTGCAGCGCGGGTTAAATCCATCGTGGGAAAATTGAACCCACGTTGTAATTGGTTACCTTGCTAGAGGGACCCAATTATTCCTAGTGGCTTTCGGTGCACACCACCCCCCAAAACCCCTAAGAGTTAGGTTCGTTGTGTGACGGCGCGCGGCCAAGCAACAGGAACTTGCAGCAAAGACCCCTGCTCGCGTGCCAGCGGCCGGCACCTTTCCCCCTGGTGATCTGTTCTTTGCCTAATCTAAAAAATTACGGCAGCTCAGTCTAACAGTCCTGTGTACGCCAATCCTCTCTCGCGTATCTCTCATCCTCTCTTTTCGCGATTACAACGCCCTTTTCGGACCCTTCTGATTGTACAGCTACCTTCCTACGGAAAACGAAAGAGACCTTACCCTCGAACGATCCGATCGAATCGAAGCTCCCTTCTCTTCCTACCACCCAACTCCAACGAAGCTAGAGCATACACCCAAGATGGCGTCAATGTGGATGTCCGACTCTCAAAGTACGTCTTTTTGCGCCGCCAAGCCGTCACAGGCAATACCGCACCAGAACCATGTTGCGCAGCTTCTACACCACCGTCAAGGACCGTAGCTGACCTTTGTTCTTACAGAAATTGGAGTAATCTTCTGCTCCGGAGGTACGTTTGCGCCGCCACCAGTACCTCTCTGGCGCATCGAGTAGCACATACAGCAAGTAGTTTTCACGGTGGCTAACTTCTCTGCGCTTCCGACAGGAGGTTTCTTCCTCATCGGTGGAGTGATGCTGTTCTTTGACCGAGCAATGTAAGTCGTTCCTTGCGGATTTGTTCTCCCCCTTTGACTTTCGCGACAGAGCTAACCCGATCCTTTCTCAGGCTGGCCATGGGAAACGTACGAAACTCCCCTCCTCCCTCCTCCCTGACCACAGAGTCAACGACCACCTACACGCAAAGTAGCTGACCCTTGAAACGCAATAGATTCTCTTCCTCATCGGCCTGACCATCATCATCGGACCCCAAAAGACGCTCCTCTTCTTCGCGCGGAAACAAAAGGCAAAGGGCACGGCCGCCTTCTTTGGCGGTCTTACCCTGATCCTGCTACGGTGGCCCCTAATCGGCTTCTGCGTCGAGCTCTACGGCATCATGGTCCTCTTTGGCGACTTCCTCGGCACGATTGCCGCTTTTGCGCGTAACATCCCCGTCATCGGGCCGTATATCGGCACCGCGGTCGACCGGTCTGGTGTCGGTCGCCGGAACGCTGAGTTGCCTGTGTAAATATTCCATTGGAAGGCGGTCGGGAGGGATGTATCAACGTATCAATGATTTTCGGGGAAGCCACTGGAATGAGGAGGATAGCGTATAGACGGGATTGTATACCATAACGGCGCAGGTTGGGCCCTGAACCTATGATTTGATAAAGGCTTGTAATTATACGCGGATTTGTTTTCGGTTCTTAGAGCAAGGGCGAAACCTTTGTCTAGAGACGACGAAACTCGCTCAAGGATAATGAATGAATGGAAAGACACACTTGAGAAACCATCTGGCACACATAGGACGGAAAGACATGTCATTGACATACATGGTTGGCGCATTTCGGGCTCGAACGTAGCCGCGGCTAAGCAAAGATTCCGCCATTGGTAAACTCTTGCTAATCTAGTGTTCGTCGATTCGTAGTGTCAACATCCTCGTGTGTACGCGGGAGCGAGATGCCCAGCCTGCCTCGCACACAGTAAACTCCAGGGGTTTGTTTCCTTTAGTTGCAAAAATCCCCCCGCGTGCCCCCTCGTCTACGCCATCACCTCCTCCACCCTGGCTGGTATTCTTAGTAGCTCACACTGACGAGGTAGTCTGCCAGCTTCTCCACCGCCAGAGTAGCGCTGCCGGCCTGCGCGTTCTCGCCGTGGTGGCCGAGAAGGATGGCCTGGGTAGACTTGGCGACGGCGATACCCTCCTTGCCCTATTCAAGTGATTTCAAGTCAGCCCTTCTGCGGACAATGCCACGTTTTTTTCGTGCTTTCAGAGTGTATGGGCGTCCAACCTTTCGTGCGTAAATGGCACCCTCCTCGGCACGGGCCATGACGTATCTCTCGCCGCCGATGAACAGACCATCGGCAAAGGCCTTGTCCTTGACGTCCGACTTTCCGGTAACGATGTCGGCAACAACCTTCATCTCCGTGGCGGAAAGCTATGTTGCGCAAGAGATATTGTTAGTAGTGGTACGGATAGAGAAATGTAGTTATTCGTTGGTAATTGAAGGCGGGATCACATACGGTGAAACCGGCGCTCGACGCCCACGTGCTGTCACCGGCGATGCTGATGATGGCGGCCTTGTCAATGTGGCCGGTGCCGACCAAGCTACAGATCCCACGTCAGTTCTCCATGGCCCATTGTATAGCTCAACAATCCCTCGCGATGCGCAAGCCGCGAAAACAAAAAGCTGGTGCAAAGCTACCTGGTGTCAACGTAAGCTGTAGAGAGAGATTGTCAGCTCATCCTGATGATTCTCGAGGTCTGGGGGGTTTTCCCCCTCGGGTTTGGCTTCTCCCTCCCCTTCCGTCTCTCTTGGGAGAGAGCTGCCAACGCCCGCATCGGCCCTTCGTGGGGGTGGGAGATTGCGAAGTGAGTGAGCTTACCTTGCCACGACATGATGAAGGAAGGAAGACGGGAAGAAATAAGAGACTAGTGCTCGCTGGTGCAAATTAACAAAAAAGAGACAAGAAGCTTCTCTCTGTCGAAAGGGGGTGTGCAAAAAGCTCAAGCTTTGACGCGGTGTGGGATATGGAGGGGAGGAATTTCGGTTTGTGACTGTTGATGTTTCTTGTTCCTCTTTCCTGCCTGACGTTTGCCCCTCTCTCCTCCGAGGAATACCTTAGCAAACCAATTTTTAGGTCCAGCGGGCCGGGCGGGGTATCACGCTACCTGCTGAGAGGTCATTGCTGGCGCCAAAGTAGCGGTGCGGGGTACTTTCTTCAGCATCGCGAGCATCGTAGGCGAATACCTCTGTTTCTCGTTGCTTCCACCCCCGGCAACTGTGAGGTGCTGTATTCAGGAAAGTCCAGCAATGTCATGCAGCTACCACAGTAAGATACCTAAGGTAGGGACTGCCAAAGAATTGCTGCACCTTATCCGAA